ACCCTTGTCGGAGACCCAGAAGAGGCTTTTGGCTCTGGCTTGGTCCAGGCCTGGCCATTGTGACCATTTGAAGAGTCAACGCTGCGTTTCCAATAAAAAAGACAACTCCTTAAAAAAGAAATGCATAAAATAAAATTCACACTTTTAATTTAGTGTTTTCAGAAAATACTTTCTATTTTCTTGAACTTTCCCCCTCCTTGATCAAATATAGTAAAGTTGCTTTTCGTAAAGATTTTGGAAAATAGGGCCCGGTGTGGTAGCCTAGTGGTTAAAGTCCTCGCCTTGCACGTGGTAGAATCCAATATGAGCATTGGTTTGTATCCGAGCTGCTCTATTTCCCTTCCAGCTACCTGCTTGGGGCCTGGGAAAGCAGTAGAGGACGGCCCAAAGCCTTGGGACCCTGTACCCATGTGGGAGACCTAGAGGAGGCTCTTGGCTCCTGGCTTTGGATCGGGTTAGCTCCAGCCATTGTGTGAGTTCTTCACCTCTGCTCTATTTCCCTAAAAAGGTGGACTTCTATTACTTTTTAAAATATCTCTAGATTTCTGTCTGAGTTGGGTTTTCTGCATAAGCCTTCTTTTGTATACATTTTTAAAATGTCATTTTCAAGAAATTTTTCTGTATTCCAGAAATAAGAATACTTTGCCTACCTAGCTCCACTTGCAATTTAAAGAGCTAGCATGACTTGGGTGGGCAAGAGAATCTGGACCGTAGTGTTTGCAGATTGGGATGTTTCCTCCAACTGTACTGTCATGGAAATCTGACACTGGAAGGACAAACTCTCCTCCTGGTAACAGAGGGGCCCTGTCGGGACTCGCGCTGTGGGACCGTGTCTGAGTCCTGGCAGTTCTGCTTCCAGTTCAGCTTCCTGCTGATGTGCCTAACAGTAGAAGGTGGCCTAAATGCTTAGGCCCCTGCCACTCACGTGGGAGACCCAGGTGGAGTTCCTGGCTCTTGGCTTCTTTTTGGTGCAGCCTTCGTCATTATGGCCATTTGGGGAGTGAACCAACAAATGGAAGATCTCTTTTCTCTGTCTCCCCTGTCTCTCCCTTTCAAGTCAATAGAGTAAATCCTTTAAAAATGAAAGATGAAAAAGCAGAGAGGGCCTAGCAGATCCTATACAACCTTTCGTGATCAAGAAATAAATTTTCATTCTACTAGCTGTTTAAGATTTTTAATTTTATTACAATAGCATAGTCAAACAGTCTTATACATTATTTTGTGTATGTTTTCTGAGATTTACATGACTTATACACATATAAGAAAGGCTTTTGTAAGCTAATTCCTACAGGTCTTTCCAAGGTCATTTTTGACAACATTCCTATCTCTAACACACCATGCTCACACCTGTATGTTTTATGCACATCTGGGGAGTTTCTGTTTTTTTTTTTTTTTGAGTCCTTGGAGTGACATTCTTTAATTTTGTCTATTATAATAAATGATGACCCATGTCGTGGTCAATCCTCAAGAACTCATATGTGATAGTCATAAAAACATGTTAAATGAACACGCTGCATTTGAATATAGAAAAACTTCAGCTCACTGGTGAGTCATCTTCCTGAGGATTAGCTGTCTGCAGAGGATAAGAGGGGAATAGTTGGAATATGTTCTCTCCAAAATCCAGCTGTTTCCTACATGGTGGGATCAGGAGGTGGGGCTCCTTTCCCGTGAGTGCAACGGGGTGCCCGGAGTAAGGCCTGCGGGACTGTATGCTCCCTCGTCCTCCTCCTGCCAAGAGACTAAGCAGCAAAAGGCCACGGTCAGAGGCTGCCGTCCTGACCTGGGACTTCTCAGCCCTCAGAACTGTGAGAAAATGCATTCCTCTCTTTTAGAAGTGACTCGGTCTCTGCTCTTTGTTGTAGCAGCATAAAGAGTAAGACAAAAAGACCAAGACAGTAAGTCTCCTTTTGTAGATTTAGGAGATTAGGAATTAAGGAAAATGAGAGGGCAGGAAGAAGGCATTCGCTGGCCACTGCCCGGGTTCACTGAAATTCCGCGAAGATCCCTGTGGTGGTTGTCAAACGCTGTATTCATTTGCCATATATCAGTGTGGTGATTCTCTTATTCTTCCATTTGTTGCGTGAAATTGCTTGAGATTCATGAAGACACCTAGGAGTTGGTGATATTCTGGAGTTTTTTGTTAAATTGCTTAACCTTTGTAATGTAAAGTAGAACATACATTCAAAAAGCTGAAAACATATGGGTACAGATTAAGAACAACCCCTTGTTCACCCCAGGGAAAACTCCCATGGAGCAGAAGCCCTTGGATGCCCTGCTCCCTGACTGCAGTCTCTCTCCCAAGAACTCCAAATTTTGTGTGGTTTATTCCTTTGTTTTTCACTCCTCTGTTTTTACTCCTAGTTAAAATTGGTTATTATTAACTTCATAGTAAATGCTGATATGTTTCATGTACCCTTTGGCGTGCTTTTTTGTGCAAGATTTCTTTTAAGCTTTGTTTATTTACTTGAAAGGCAGAATTACAGAGAGGGAAGACACAGGGAGAGATCATCCATTCGCTGGTTCGTCCCCAGCTGACTGAAAGCCAGGGCGAGGAGCTTCATCTCTGCCTTTCTTTTGCCATGAGATCCCTTCCTATGTAGATGGTGGGGACTCAGACACTTGGGCTTTCTTCCATTGCTTTTCCAGGGCATCAGCAGGAAGCTGGATTAGAAGTGAAGCAGCTAGGACTTGCCCATATGAAATGTCAGCATCACGGGTGGCAGTTTAACCCAACAATGCCACAATGTTGGGCACCTGTGCAAGTGTATTAGGTTCAACCAAGTTGCTATATATGAAGATATTTCAAAAAACTTGTGAAATTATTGAATTAAAAAACCAGGACATGGGCAGGGGTTGCTAGACAGAAAGGCACCTGGCAGTATGTGTGTGGGCTGGATAGTAGGTTGGTTGGGTTGAATTAGGCTTCGTTGTCCATTGACAAGTACGAGAGCTAATAGGATGTGGGACAGACTGAACAAGCCTGTGGTACATACTGGCATGCATGGGAAGTAGGGTAGGGGGCAGGCCTAGGGGGGTTATGGGGAGTTGCCCCAACTAGGTTGTAGCTCCCACTGGTTTGCATGAGGACCGAGTATAAAGTGGGTAGGATTGAACTGGACTACAACACTCATTGGTTCAAGTGGAAGACAGGGCTGGATATAGAATTGACCCAGCAAATGCAATGAGCAGCATGATCATAAGCTGATTGGGGCAACAGACTGTGCCAGACCCTCTACTGGCAAACTCACACAAGAATCAGGTTTGGAATCATCTCAGATGAAGTTTCTTTGGATATCCCTCCAACTGAACTGCTGATCTTGGAACCCCAACCATGAAGACTATGTCAGCTAGTGGATTCTGAATAGGTTTCATTGCGATTGAAACAGCAAGATTGACAGCAATTCAGACCTGTTGAACTATCAAAACTGCTTGAGCAGGAGCCTCGGAGCATGCCTCACATGAGGGACCTGGGCTGGGTGGGGCTTTTCCCTTTTTTTCTCCCCGATCCCAGATACAGGGAAAAAAGATGATGATATTAGTGTGGAAACAATGGTCTTACCCAATTTCCTGTAGACCTTGACCCTTTGTAACCTAGTCAACTAAATAATATTATTTAAAAAAAATTAAAAAAAAACATAATGTGAAGGGGCTGGTGCAGTAGCATAGTATATAGATCCTTTGCCTGCAGGGCTGCCATCCCATGTAGTTACCAGTTTGTGTCTTGTCTGCTGCACTTCCAATCCAGTTACCTGCTTGTGGTCTGGGAAAGCAGTGGAGGATGGCCCAAAATCTTGGGACCCCTCACCCACGTGGGAGACCCAGAAGAAGTTCCTGGCTCCTGGCTTCATATCAGCTCAGCCCTGGCTGTTGCAGCCATTTGAGGAGCTAATCAGAAGATGGAAGACCTTTCTGTCACTCTTTCTCTCTGTAAATCTGCCCTTCATAGCTTTAAAAATAAACAAACAAGATAATGTACACCTTTCATAAAGTTTGTGAGGAACCCCTGTGAAATTGCATTTTATTTGCTTTCATTGTTGTATAATATTTCACTGAATGGGCATAACCTAACCTAATTTGCTTATCCACTCAGGCAGTCGAATTGTTTTGAGATTTTTGCTATTATAAAACAATGCCACTGTAGCATTGTTAATATTTCCTGTGTACAAATTTGTCTATGATATATTCATAGTAGTGGAATTGAGGGGCACAGAGAATGTACAGCCTGAACTTTATAAGGCAATGCCCAGCTGTTCCCAAAGGAGTTACAGCACAGCTGTTTTGTTTGTTTCCTCCTTGCACTAGCAAAGGAATCCCATTCTTCATTACTCTTCATCCTTGCTGAAAGTATTTCCAACTTAAAAATTCGCCAATGAGGTGGTATAATATGGTATCATAAATGATTTGGATGTCTATTTCTTCAGGTTAAACATAGCTTTCATGCGAGGGACTTGTGTCTTTCTTATCCACTTATGTTACTAGTCCTTTCTCTTTTCCGCTCCGCAGGATTTATTTGTACACTCTTGATACTAGTAGTTTATTAGAATCACTTATTTCTTAGTGCCTAATTGCATGTGGAAGGCAAGAAAGGAGTAGTATAGAATTACTCTTAGCTGTCTAGCTTGGGGATTTGAGTGAACATGTTGCAGTGAATGTGGGATCTAGAATTAAAGAAAGAGAATTTTATCTGGGAGAGAGGGAAATTTAGTTTTGTGTGTGTGTGTGTGTGTGTGTGTGTGTGTGTGTGATTTGAGGTTCTTATAGAATATTCAGGTGGAAATGTGCCATGAGAACTTGTCTGTAGGCACCTGGAACTCGGGCCGAGCTCTGTCACGCCTCATCACTTGTGAAGGACTTCACCTGATGGGCCTCTCAAGAGAAAGCAGGTGGAGAGTGGGAGAGCTCATTTGTCCTCTGCCCATTTTCTCTAGGCCATGGGTCCCTTTATCTAACCTTATGAAATAAATATCTCAGTCAGAAAACCATAAAACATTTCATTTTACTTATAATTACTTTATTCTTTTTTCAGTACCAGCAGTCTCTGTTAGTGTTTCCCAGAAAACACATTGTTTTAATTTTGAAAAACAAACTTGTCTTAAAACATACAGAACATCTATCTACAGTTTCCAATTTCTTCCATTTCTTGTGGATATATAGTATTAGTACACATTGTTCCATATACACTGAAAACAGTAGAAACATATACATCCAACAATACTTTACACACTATTTCATTAAATAATATTTACACAGTTCAGGCATTCTTAGCTTGATCTACAGACACCAAAAGAATATGGGTCCCTTAGGAGACTAATGTAAACATAACTTTCAAAAAGTCGATTTTGGTATCATCTTGGTTTGTATGCCTTTTAGCTGTTTGAGATTTTAAGAATGATCCCACAGTAACAACAACAAAAATAGGAGAGATGAGGAAGGCGTACTAGCAGGCTGGAACTTGGCACGTTGACTCAGAATAGCTTATGGGATGGTGCCAAGATAGAGTTACTGTGAGGAGTTCAGGATGGTAAGCCCTTGACCATGCAGGAGCAGAAGCAGCTGGTATGGCAACTGGCTGATCACCTTTTAGGAGAATTGTAAGCTGAGGGCAGTGAGGGATTGGCATAAGTTCTGTACGAGGAAGTGTGGCAGAGGGGGCCTGAATGAGGGGTTGACATGCAGTCTGTGTGAGGAAGTGCGGCAGAGCAGCCTTTCAGGGGGTCCCTTCTTGGCATCACTGTGGGGACTGTGCTTCTCTCGGGGTTTGAGATCTTTTAGACCTGTAGGAAGAGAGAAAAGATACGTGAGTGTGCTTGGCAGGCCATGGCTTCACACTGAGCTCGTGATGCCCCAAGATGCTCAGGTGGAAGACAGGCTGTGCCTCCCTGCTGCTGGCCAGTGATTGTGGACTTTTACAGGAGCCGCGTGTTTTCTGGCTACTTTTTTTTCCCCCTCGGGCAGTTGCAGTTTCGTTTACATTGTCGTTGCTCTGCCTCAAGGTTGAAGAGCCCTGACAGTTCTTGACAGGCAATCAGGTTAACTTTGGATCTTATCACACAAGGTAGCACCTCAGCATATAAATAGGAATTGAGGAGGACACAATGGTTATATTCTTTTAGGCTGAAGATCACACTGCAAAGCCTAATGCAAAGATTTCTAATTCCTTGAAATTGCATTTCCTAAAGAGTAGTCCCTTTACAAACGACAGCTACCTACCTTTCCTTTCTAACTGTTTTCAGTAAATTCTTGATGGCCTTTAATTCTGGATTCAGACATCTCCTCTCCCCACTCTTTTTCATTGTGGCACTATTAGAAGGAAATAAGAAAAAAAAAATACTTGAAACAGTGTTGGATACAATAGGCAGATGAAATACACAGTTCCAGAGCCAGACACCAAAGCTTTACTGTAGCTTTTTCTTGTTTCGTACGTTAGTTTTAGAATCATCAAAAACTACTTGGCTAATCTTTAGCTATTATCATGTTGTAGATATGGATTATAACCAGAGAGTTGAGCAGCAGATGAGGTTTTACTCACATGATCTCAAGTGGACAGAATTGATTTGCAGGAATGATTTCAAGTTTTTCCAAAAGTCTTGGATTAACTGATTTATTATGAATCTTGATGCAGGTACAGCGCACAGTTCTAGAGAGAGGCATTCCTGCAAGGAAAGAGACAGGTATAGCAAGAAAGGGTGACACAATGTTTCCTTATAGGCGTTTCATATACATGGGACGTGTTTAGCAGAATCCATCTCCCCATTTCTGTCCATAATCTCTTCATCCTATAAGGGATGTATGCCATTTTAACGTATCTCTGAGGGATTAAATAGTGAACTGAGTGGAAAGAGTTGTCATTTGTAAAATTCTGTCACTAAATACAATCCAAGTTCTTAACTAAGCTTAGAGAAGGCAACGTTTGTATCTTACCCTCTTTCTTCTCATTCTCTCACATCCTTTCTGCCCTCTCATCCCTCTTCCTCTCCGTTTTCCCTTCTGCTATTTCTCTGTCTTCAGTCATTTGTGTGAACTCAGTGACCCAAGAAATCTCTGCTCATTTCCCTCTGGCTTACAGGGAGGCATTTTTCACATACACTATTTCTCTACTTTAAAATTTATTTCCCAACCTATTTCTGATTTTGCAAATTAGATATCCCTTGATATTTCTTACCATTTGTCCAGCTCACAGCCAGTAAGATAAGGCAGAAGGTAAGAATGGCCCTTTGGCTCATGGTGCTGAGTCTGCAGGTGTTGCTGTAGTAGGCTCAGGATGTTTCCAAGCAGCCCAGTGCTTCCGAAAACGTGGGATTAGTATGCTGTATTTATATTCAGAGGCGCTTTCCCTCCTTAACGCTGATTGGATAACATTATGGTTGAGTCAGGAAAACCTGCTGGCTGTTCCTTCGGGGAAGTCCCATGTTGCATAATTGAAGCTTTTACTTGTATTTGTTTTGACCTCCCATTTGTGGAATTTCCCTTTGTCTTCCGTTTGTGAGAGTGAGTTAAGTTTCACTTTCCAAAACATGAGCTGTTTCCTGAAAGCCATAACTTTATTATTGCATGTAGAAATGTTTTTATAATCGAACTTTAGTTCTTATCTTTCATATAATAAAATAAGAATGTCAAATAAATTCGTAAGTCACATACCTAAGTTCAGTTTTTAAATTAATGTGCCTTAATTTTATGTTTGGCATGCATCTCAAGTTGCAGTAGGAAGGCATGCATAGAAATATTTTACATTATTTATTGTCATCACACATCTATGAAAGTAGGAAAATTATTTAATAGGTGGAAAAGAGATTGGACCATCAGTATGTTCTATGAGGCTTTTCTTTCAATATTTATCTAACATTTTTGTAATTAATTCCAGAGGCTCTTTTTAAAATATCTTCAGCAATGGTGATTTTTTACAATCATCTTTGACTTAAGTAACTTTTCATAGCAAAAAGTTATCTGATTGTTAGGATAAGCACTTCAGCTGGCAAATGCGCTTTGAACAATTAACGTAAAGTAGTCCCCAGATGCAGGCAGCAGTACCTTGGCAAGTGTTGCACTGCTGGGAAAAAAGCAGCTAAGAGCTGGTGGGAATCCTAGACCTGGTTAATGCCTGGTTAACTATACCAGTGTGCCAGCATAGTCAGCCATTTATTTACTTGTTTACTTTTATTTAAAAGATAAGTGGGAGCCAGACGCTGGCACGCCAACAGACAGGGTCTGGAGACTCGTGCGTTAGTGCACATGGGCCCTGGGTGGGCAAGCAACAGGCTGAGGCAGGGCCTCAGGCTGGCACAGCACAGTGCCAGAGGACCAGGCATGAAGATCTGTGGGCACAGGGAGCAGTGGATTGCACAGGGAAGCGGGTTTAGAGATGTGCGAGAGGGAGGACTGCTGAGGGAGGACGTGGCAGGTGAGGAGTGACTTCCGGGGGACTCCCACCAACCAGGCTATTGTACTTGCAAACAAACAAGGAGGCTGAGGTTGGGTGGTTTAGAGAAAGAGGAGGACCTTTTAGGGCCAAACCAATGCACCTGCCCATATGGGAGACCTGAGCTGCCTACCAGTGTGCACAGAAGCCATGGCTGGGAGGCCTGCCTGATGGGGATCAACCATGGTACCCGCCAGGGAGTGCTCGGGAGACGTCTTGGTGGACTATGTTAGGCTGTGTCTTGACACTGATCAGCTCATGAGAGAACTGGGTGTGGGAGCAGATTGTTTGTAGAATCTGTGAAACTGCCATATGAGATGGTTTGCTGGAGGACTGGGGCGGTGTCAGGCTGAGCTAGGCTTGACCATAGGGCTCAGCAACATTTATGAGTTGTGGAGATGGAAACAGGCCAGGCTGTAGTACCCACAGGCACATCCAAGAATTTGGTTTGGGGCAGGCTGGGCTGTAATATCCGCCAGCTCACACAAAGGCAGAGACTGGGGCTGACTGCTTGGTAAGGGCTGAGCTCTGGGACAGGGAATGGGCCTGATTGGGAAGCTTGGGAAACTCCCCTGGTGGGCAGTAGCTCCCTCTGGTGGTCATGGAGTCAGGGCCAGGTGTAGGTTAGGCTAGGCAGGAAAGCTTCACTTATTGACACTTGGTGTGGGTTAGCTCTGTGCAGGGAGGAGGGGCAGTCGAGGCAGGGCCAGGCTAAACCAGAGTACACTGGCATGTGTGGTAACCAGGATAAGATGTGGGCCATTCTGAGCTAGGATAGGCTGTCACACCTACTGGTTTGCATGAAAGCCAGGAATGGGGACAGGCTGGGCTGGGCCAGGCTGAAGCATGAACTGGTGAATGCCGAGGTGAGGCAGGGCCTGCCTGTCTGGGCCGCAGCACTTACCAGCACATGTAACTCTTGGAGGTGGGAGTGTCTTGGGGGGAAGAAGTCCAGTAGGGGGACAGCACAGGCTCCCCTGCTGGGCCACAGCTCTTGCTGGTGAGCATGAGAGCTGGGACTACGGGCGTCCAGGCTGGGCAGAGGTACAATGCCCGTTGGCCTCTTAATGAGCTGGGCTAGGGGGAAAGCCAGGCTGGGCTAAGCAATCACGTCCACTGGTGCATGCATGAGCCAGAGTACGTGCAGGCTGGTTGGGCTTTACTGCAACGTCAGCTGGCAGGTGCTGGGAATGGGGGCAAGTCTTGTCAAAACAGACCATAGAACCATCTGGAAAGTGCAAGATCCTGGGCTGGGAGTAGGCCCAGTAAGTAAACAGTGGGCACCTCTCTGATGGGCTGCAACTCCCACTGATGAGTGTGAGAACCAGGGCTTGGGGCAGACCTGGCTAAACAGGCTTTGGCACTTGCCAGCATGAATGTGGGCTGGTAGTGCAGTTGGTTAGGTTGAGTTAACAGGCTCCATTGCTCATTGATGTGTTCGCGAGCTGAATAAGATGTGGAACAGACTAGACCTATCTGTTGCACATACCAGCATGCATAGGAATCAGTGTTGGGGATGGGCCTAGTGGAGGTTATTAGGGGTCACCTTGACTAGGCTGCAGTTCCCGCTGGTGTACATGAAGGCAGAGTGTGTGGTGGGCAGGGCAGGCTGGGCCACAGTGTCCACTGGTTTTCATATGAGATGGGGCTGGGGACAGAACTGACCAGGTAACTGCAACTACCAATGTGTGTGTTGTCAGGTTTGTGTGATGGACTGAGCCAGACCCCACACTGGCTGATACACACAAAAGTCAGTTCTGGGGTTACTTCTGGAAAGATTTCTTTGGGTATTACTTTCCTCCCCTGCTCCCCCATCTCCCGCCTTCCTCCCTCCTGCCAACTGAGTCACTGGACTCAGAACTCCAACCATAGTGAAAACCATAGCATCTGTGGTCTGACCATAGAGTCAGAACTGGATCTCCACAGTTGCTGAGGCCTGTGCGGTGGACAGCATGCCCAGATGCACATTGGTGATAGGACAACCAGTTCATTGAGGCCTGAAGAGGACGTCTAGTGCCTCTTTAGAACAAATAGAGGGCAGAACAAATTGGACAACTTCCATTCACAAATATCCTGGCAAATTGAGACTCTAAGGCGCACTATGTCAGCCAATGGACATTGGAAGGATTTCCTCAGTCTTGGAGCAGTGAAATTAAGAGCATCTCAGAACTGCCAAAACCACTTAAGCAGTATCCTTGGAGCATGCTGCACATCAGGGACCTTGGGATGACTTCAGTTGGCCTTTGCCCTTTCCTGGGTGCTGATGCGGTTAGGCTGCTTAGAGTGCCCTTCTCCCCTTCTCTCTCCACTGTGCCCAGATACCAGAAGAAAAAAGGAGATTGGAGGCAGTTGTCTTATCTACTTGCCCCTATTCCTCAACTCTCCCCACCCCAATTGGACTGGTCATGTATCCCTCTCAACTATGTAAACATGATAAAAAATAAAATGAATTTATTGGTAAAAATATATAAAGTAGTACACTTGGTGTTTTTAAACATGGTGAAAGACAGGGAACCTGCATGTTACAAGGAATAACACAAATGCTTTGACTATTCATAACGTCATTAAAAAGAAGTGAACAACTTCAATATAACCAATAAAAAACATGTTACTTTAAAATTTATTTTCTGGATGGAGAGAGACCTTCCATCCTCTGGATTCCTCCTCCCAGATGTCTGCAACAGCCAAGACTGTGCTAGACCAAGGCCAGGAGCTAGAGCCTTAGTCAGGGTTTCCCACACAGGTGACAGACACCCAATATTTGAACTGTTCTCCTGCCAGCGTTAGTAGGAAGTGGAACTGAAAGCAGAGCCAGATCTCAAACCCAGGACTCTGAGGCATGTGTCCCCAGTGGGAACTCATGAACAAGTTACTGCTACTCATTCAGATACCCATTTTCTGGTATGTCCATACTTAGTTCCTGAATGAAAATGTTTAAAGATAATATCTAGAATGAATGTAAAAAATATTCATCATTATAGTAAGATTGGGAGGAAAAGGATGCTTATTTTGGGAAAGAAAAGTATGGAACAGACAGACGTTTGAACAAGAGCTTAAGACAATAGGGAAGAAGTTGGTTTACAATGGGATTCAGCTGTAAGAGACTGTTAATGCACAAAGCAAAGAGTCAGTAATGTTGAGCGGTGTGGTAACACTAACCCTAACTCAGCACCGTTACATCTAACTTTGGTGAGGTGAATGTTCACATTCCACATAGGCATGAGATCATGCAGTGCTTGCCTTTCCATGCTTGGATAGCTTACCTTCACAAAATTCATAAAAATTGAAAAAGGAAAAAATGATCTCCAGTTATGTATATATTGTTACAAATAACAAGATTATCCATTTTCTTTCTAAAAAAAAGTTTTATTTATTTTTATTGGAAACTCATATTTACAGAGAAGGAGAGACCAGGAGAAAGATCTTCTGTCTGCTGTAATGGCCAGAGTTAAACCAATCTGAAGCCAGAAGCTTCTTCCAGGTTACCCATGTGGATGTGTGGTCCCAAGGTTTTGGGCCATCCTCTACTGTTTTTCCAGGCCTCAAGCAGGAAACTGGATGGGAAGTGGAGCAGCTGCAATACGAACCGGTGCCCATATGGGATTCTGGTGCATGCAAGGCAAAGTCTTTAGGCGTTAGGCTACCGTGCTGTGCCCCAAGATTATCCTTTTATGGATAGTAATATGCCATTGTGTTTATATGCAGCATTGTCTTGACCCATTTGTTAGCAGATAGCCATTTCTTGGCTATTAGAAAAATTGCTACAATTTGAGAGTGTAGGTTTATTTCTAGTGATTTCATTTCCCTTGTATATATTCCTGGTTGTAGAATTGCTGGATCATGCAGTAGTACTGTTTTCATTTTTTGAGAA